GCCCAAAGGGAGAACTGTGCACTTGGGGAGGGGAGAGCTGGTCCCCAAAAGTTGGCACTTTCTATTATGTTTTCCAAAAACCTCCTGCTGCCTGAAACTTTATATCCATGTGTTTAAGACTCCATCTCTCTGCAGGTCAGGTCACATCAGAGAAAAAGTAATGCAACATTTTAAGGAGGGCTGACTGGAATTTAGCAGATACCTGGTTTATCATCATCCTTGCTGCTGTTTGCAGAAACAAGGGTGGTGGCTCAGACCCTGGAGTCTAAGAGACTCATGGGAACCCCCATGCATACCCTGTCTGACCACAGAGCTTCCTCAGTTTAAGCCTCAGTCTCACCAGACAGTTACAGATTCATGAATGAACTGTTTCATTCACTATGTATGTAACTACACATGTACAGTGTATCTATGTGAAACGTATACAGTCAACCCTGTACATACATACGCTGTGTATGTGTGTATTCAGCCATAAGCTGAACATCTTTTTAGAAAATTGTGGGCAGGGGTTGGGGAGATGGCTCATTTCATAGAGTGCTTGTTGCATAAACAATAGGACCTGAGTCTGGCCCCATACCAGATCACAGACAATAACCCAAGGATAACGCCTCACCTGGTGCTTGGGCAATGCCCACCTGGCAACCTTGGTCCTTGGGAGACGCCTAAGGACTTCAGCTGAGCAAGGCAGACTGCATGCCTTCTCAGCCTACCTATGAGAGCGCACACAACTTGCAAAGCAACTCAATGCTTTCACATCTCATGTGGGCACTCCCAGACCTGAAATCAAATGGGGAGCACACTCCATCCAGACAGCTTCTTGGGAAGAAGAGTCACCATTGACTCAGTGACAGCAGAGAGACACTCCTCCACCATCTCTCCCAATGGGGTGTGTGCTGTATTCCCAAGTATGTTTGGAAAGCTCATAAATAAATCCATTCCCATATTTAGGATGAGAAGAAAAAAAAAAGCCTGCTCCATGCCAGTAACTGGCTGGAGCCTGGTGTTTGGCACTGAAGTCAGAGTTAGCAGTTTGTACGCTTTGAAGTGAGAGGGCTTTCCCTCTTTTATTAGCAATGAAATGAACTTTAAAGGGAAAAACGTTGGTGAGGAGTATTTTTCCATGGCAAGCCACGTAATGTCTTTGGTACAATTCCCTATTTAGAAAGTCTAGCTGCCTTGAGGCACTCGGGAGTATCTGAGATATCTCACGTAACTCTGCCCCTGAAAATTTAGACAAGTGTGAGTATGTTCATTGGACCACCATCTCCTATACATTTTAGCAGGAGCTAAAATGGGATATTTTAGAGCAGCGATTTCCAAACTGGGCCTCTTCCCTCTCTCCACCGTGTGTGTGTTTGTGTGCGTGCTTAATTATAAGCACATATTGTTTTGAGGGGCTGTCATTTTAATAGGCAAGCAGTCAACAGCCCTTACTGAGAAAAACTCACTTAGAATCTTTAAAATTCATTGGCCAAAAGAACTGGGGTTTTAAATTTGCAGAATATTTCTGAGCAGAAAGATGCAGAACCCGTTTGTCCTTCCAGGAAAGGAGAAAGTATGTGTTCTTGACTCCCCATAGGCCTTTTCCACGGGCTGTAGAGATGGCTCAGCCCTTAAGGGCTGGGATCACAACCATTGGCCGATTTCAAGAGTGAATAGTCTGGATGACCTTATTCTGACTTTGCTGATTAGGAAGTCACCTCAGGCCAAGAGATGTGCTGAGGGGGAGGTGGCTCTGACTGGGGCAGGCTCTCCATTCCCTGACTTGGGAGCAAAGGTGAAATCTGGGGCTTCCCTTCACACAGTCCTGAAGTCAGAAGCCCTGGGAACTGCCTGAAGAAAATGCAAGCACGACATTGTCCTGTCTTTAGATCCAGTTTTTCTGGAAGCCCCACACCAGCAGGGGACTTTGGGAACAGACGCAAACTAAGCTGTGTTCTACTTTAGAGTATTTAAGCCGTGATGAAGAAATTTCTATTGAATGGTTATGGTACCCTGGGAAACTATCCTCATCAATTCTGCATAGCCGGTGTCCATGCTATTCACTATGACAGAGAGACACAAGGCAAGTTCTTAATTTACTATAAATCTAAGTGAGCTTCTAGAAAAATGGAGAAAGGGCTGTCCCTTAAAATCCCCAGAATGTTGTGTCTTTAGAAGAGGCCACAGGTAGCATCTTTGATTTCTTAAATGTTCACTGGGACTTCCTGGGTGGTGGCTGGGCCTTTCAATACCAAACCACAAGGTGCTGTAGGGAAGATGAGGCTCTGACAGGGGGAAAGAACTCTTCTGTTCTATAGCCCTTCCTTCCCTTTGCCCGCAAGGGAAGACCTGCCTTCAACCCTGTGAGAAAAACTCCACATAGGATGGAGTAGACAAAGAAATACTTAATCACATTGATGGGGAAATCTCAGCAGAAACAATGCATCCTTTCAATGGCTGAAGATTTTATGAATAGAAAGAATGCTTGCTGCTCTATCTGTCCCTGGTTCTTTTGGGGGAGAAATACTGTTTATCATTAGATACTAGTTCAGTTCCAGAGCTTCAAAGAATTATGTTCAGCTGCCAAAGCCCCACTGTGGAGTCAACTACAAAGCACAGTTGATGAAAATCGCTAGAAACATTCTTAAAATAGTAACTTCTTAGAAGCGTCCTTTTCCTAGAATGCTCCTTGTCTTAGGAGTGGACATGGCTTGGGCATGCTTGCAACAGTGCCCTTTGGGAACTCTTCCCCCTCTGACCACACCTAAACCCAGCTGCTGTCTCTTTTGATGACAGTTCCTCTTGTGACTGGAGAGAGCCCTTCTGAAGCTTTATGTGGGATATGAGACCAGTCCTGGGCACTATCTAGACATTTGTCTGTCCAGCACCACACAGTGTTTATAATAGGTCCTTTCTACTTCTCAGAGAATCAACAGACTGCTGAATCTGGTAGAGGTGAGATGCTTCTGTGGACCGCGGCAGGCAAGCCACACATCACACTCTCACAGCCTTCCCGTTTGAAGCTCACTCCAGAGGAAGACTGGAGATGCTAAATAGATCTTTGACGAAAACTCTAGCAGTCCTCTGACTCGATGGCCAGCAGAAGCCTCAGTTTAACCTAGCTGTGTTGTTTCAAAACGACCCATTTGCTTCCTGTTGAAACCAACCAACAGAAAGGAGGAAAATGACACAGTTTAAGTAAAATACAAAGTTTTCACACAAAAACGCTGTGTAATTTAACTGGATAGGTGCACTTCCTGAGTCCTTTTTGGTGGAAATAGCTCAGTCTGCAAGGATAGCCATGCATCACTTAATGAAGGGGACATCTGGGGAATGAATCCTAAGATGACTTCTTCATTCCTCATGGAGAGTACTTATACACACCAAGATGGCTAAGATATGATGTCACTGGGACATATGATATCATGGGACTATCCATAAATGTGTGCTTTCTTTTCCTGACTGAACTGTTGTCATCCAGCATAAGACACACATGACCTTTGCCCTTGCTCAGGGGAGCTGTGAGCACCCCAATGGTTCCATGATGAACTCAGCCCCTTGGTAGTTTGAAAGTCAGCCACTTTGTGATAATGAGACTTGGCAAATGGCCCAATTCACCACTCTAAAGCAGGGCTTGCTACAGCAATCAAGGAAAGGAAGCATTTACCAAGGAAGGGTTTTGTCTGCCAGTCAGGCACCCACCAACCCCATTCTATTTTAGACACTTGTACACTGTTGGATTCCTTTCTCTACAGATATCAACGGGGGTGAGGGTGGGGGGGCATGCAAGCCCACTCCTGCAGGACAGGGCCAGCATTCATGGAAGTTCTGGACACTTAGGGGTAACAGCTAACTTATTTAACACAAGTGATAATAGCCCCGGGCTATCTCATCAACAAAAGTTCTTGGATGTGCATCTAGATCCAGGGGTTTATATTCATTTCGAAGAGCCAGTAGGCAGGACTGCCATGCTCTGATCCTTAGTTAATCTTTTCCTATTCCTGTTTCTGTTTCCAGTATTGTGAGCACCCTATTGCACATTCCGGGGGCTAAACCAGAATGGACATCTACTCTGAGAGCATATGCCCTGTAACAGGTGCCTAGTATTAGGGACAATGACAGTCTCACAGATAACTGAGACCTAGGGTTGTACATGTCGGTTTGCATCCAGAGAGATGCCAAAGCAGAGCTAACATTTTGGGAAGGAAACATAGAGCCTGGAGAATGGACCTAAAGTGGTAACACAATGGTGCTTCACTTTACAAAGAGGAATGAGCCTAGCTGGTGAGGCTCCTAGAAGCTCCTAAAGCCTAGGGCTTGCATTATCCCCTTGTGGGGTTCTACAAGGATTCTAACTGTGTAGCTTAGTATGGGTTTATTAGGTGGGCTCATACAGCCATCACCTGGAACTGAGGAAGTTAGAGCTTTAGGCCATACCCAACTCCTTTCTTTCTACACCTAATGTGATAGAGTTCTATGACCTAATTGGTCATTGTTGGTGGCTCAACCTTAGACAACTGAGCATAGATAATGTAAAAAAAATCAGAAACAATTCAAACAAGTGTAAGGTCTCTAATCTCAGCCTCTTTGGCTGGCTTGAAGAGATGAAAAAAGAGATTCTGGCACACCAACTATCTTGTTACTGGCGTTCTTAGCTTGATATTTTCCAAGTGACCAGTTACCATATGCTTAACATTGAACCTGCAACTCACACAAGCTTTGATTATGACTGCCTCAAAACTACTCCCATTTTGTATACAACTACAGTGTTGTATGCAACCAGCTCCTAACCAAGGAAACGTGGGTACCCCGTGTAAGTCAGAGGACTTAGTGTGAAATTTCTCATGGTATTTAAATATCCCATACCACTTCTGTGGACGACACAACCTCTTTTAGCTGCTAGAACTCATCCATCTACTGTTGAGTTTTCATGGGAGCAGATAACAACAGCCTTTACTGAACTTCACTGCCACAAAATACAGAAAGCTGGAGATTCACGCATGATTCACAGTACTGACCTGCCCTTTCATGTCAGGAGCGATGGGGATGGTCGGCCAGATGGTTGAGTAGACACCAAAAAACACCAGCCAGATCAGCATGCTTCCCCACACCGCCAGGTGACTGAACTGTGAAGGAAATGAATGTTTAGACAGGACTTTCTGCTGGACTGGGGGTGGGGGTCTACTCCAGCACATAAGGGAAGAAACTGTGGATGTACTAGTTCCTGGAGAACTCTGCCTTTCTCAGTAAGTTCCTTGTCTTAGGGTTTGTGATGATGAATTCAAATCACTGGTGCTTTTCCTGAAGATGATGGTGCTTTGTCCCCAACCTTCTTCTAAAATACATGCCCTAGCCATGACCCACCCATCCCCAGGGTTTTCTCAAGTGTCTGCTTTATAAAACAAGGGCACAGCCATCCAATGAGAGAGTGTGAGGTGGATAAATGGATAGAATATTCCTATCACCCAAAGACAACATCTGTCCTATTTATTACGGAGATTACTTAAAAACTCGGAAAGGTTAATACCTCTTCTAAAAACTTGAAATATTGCATTTAATAGAGTTTAAAAAATCCATGTGCAATTGCTCGCATTCATAGGTACAGTGTGACACTCCAAAGCACGCATATAATGTACAATGATCAGAGCAGGGTAACTGGCATATCCGCACCGCAAAACATAATTTCTGGATGTGGGGAACATCTAAAATTCTTTCTTCCAGTTGTTTTGAAAGTGGGTACTCAGTATAGTTACCCCACTTCCCACAGAACACTAAAGCACCCCTTCCCACCCTGCTCCGCTCTGCACCCACTAGCTCTCCCTGTGCAGAGGCCTCCTTTTCTTCTTGGCTCTAGTAACTAAAATTCTATTCTTCATTCTGTGAGAGAAACCCTGGGCACCTTATGCCCCTTTAAGCTGTTGGTCTCTCTCCTTTGTGCTCCTAAGGCAATCCTTGACTTCTCTCTTTAAAACCTACAATCCAGTCCCTCAGCAAGATCTGCCTTTTAGGTTCTATTTTTGAACTCTCGACTACCTCTTCTTGGAACGTTCCAGGCTAAGTCACTCTTCCCACCTCCCACCCGCCACCACCCTTTAACAGGCTCCATGGCGACCTTCCATTCTGCCCTATTTGCTTATTAGCAGAGCAGGAGGTAAGTGAGCTATGGTTACACTGTGGCACACAGACACTGTGAGGTGTGGTTGTTACCCCATCTTGGAAATAACCAAATAGGACACAGGATGCTGGTAAAACAAACTTGAGTGGGCTACTCAAGTTGGTGTTCTTTAATCATGAGCAATTGGTCCACAGACGTGTGCTTTAAGGATTCAAAAATGTGAGATTTTAGGAGGAAAAAAAAGATGACAAAACTATATGTGCCACGATGCGCCCTCTTATGTGAGAACACACATCAAAGGTCAGGGGACAAAAGACAGCACAGGGAAGTTGTGCGCAAATGCTACATTTTCTGATTTGTCCTTCTGCATACCCCCCCCCCCGTCTCTGTCTCTCTGTCTGTCTCTGTCTCTCTATCTCTGTCTCTCTGTTTCTTTCTCTGTCTCTCTGTGTCTCTCTGTCTCTGTCTCCCTCCCTCCCTCCCTCCCTCCTTCCCTCCCTCTCTCTGTCTCTCTCTCTCTCTCCACCCCCCACACCCAGTTATAATGAGAATTTTCACTTCAGACAGGTAGCATTCAGGAGCTGGGAGCTGTGCTAAGTGCTGAGCAAACAGATCGCTAGTAGTGGTCGGATTTCAAATTCCAAATCGCCTTCATAAAGATCAAAAACAATGTTTACTTGAAAAATTTGAAATAAGACAACTGTATAGTATTTATTGTTTCTCCAAGGATTAAATGGAAGTCATTGCATACAACTATCTATAATGGAGAAAGAAATAGTTCCAAAGACAACTCACTTTAGTCCATGCTGTTGTCTCCAAACCAGCTTTCAGACAAACTGTAACCACAACATACTGTGAAAAAAAAAAGAGGAGCTTGAATGATGCAAATATTTCTTGATCAGTCTGAACTTCAAGGAATCCACAGCCCATAAGGACGCGGAGTAACTCTTTTTAATGTGGAGAGCCTCGCATAACTGGGGAGGTATAACCCACACGTGTGCCCTTTAGGAATGGTTCAATAGTGCTAAACTTACCGTGTAAACAATATTTCCAACAAACAAATAGTCTGTGGCGTGACCACTGGCCAGCGGAGTATCTGAAGAACAGAGAAGCCACAGTTAGTGTTAAGAAGGCTACAGTGCAATTTTTTTCCTAGAACATAGAAAATGGAGCAGTAGTAGCATCTTTCAAAGCATGTGGTCATTTCAAAACTGACTGCCCCGTGATTCTAAAGGCACTTTCTCATTATAATGGTATTTTATTCATCTTATGTTGTCTTCAATGAATAAAACGAAATCAGATTTTCAAACAAAACTAATGGTTAATTTTCATAGAATTCATATTTTTCTAAAGTCAAATTATCTTTCAGTCTGACTTGAAAACAAGCAGAATGAGGACTGGTCTAAGAACACACCAAGTGCCCGAGCACTTCTCAAACCTTTGTCTTAATATTTGCTAACGTGGAATTGTGCAGCATCAAAGTTAGTGCAAACAGAGTCAGCCACTTTACAATAACTCATTGTTCTTGTTCTCACTGGTAACCACACAAGCTTCGGGAGTGAAAGCAATCCAGTGAGAGGTGTTTCAGGCATAGCTAGGACTCTAAAGTTTCATCTTCGTGTTTCTTTCCAGGGGCAGCTCTGCACGGTTCCTAGCGGCTACAGAGGCAGAGAGACTCTGCTTGGTGACATCCGCCCTGTGGAAATCTGACTCTGATCCCGAGAGTGCAAAATAGTTTAAAGTCAGGAATGGTTTCCTGAGTGACATTCTCATCTCCAGCAAGACAGGTGGGGATGGGGTGGAGGGGTGGGGGGACATGTGTGTGTGTGTGTGAGACAATGACAACACATAAGCTAGGTAGCAGGGACATCAGTGTTCACATTTCCAGTGAAGCTGCTGCTATCCATACATATTTGGGCTGACTCACTTATTTAATCTGTTGAAGATTCTGCTTATGATTATCAAGTTGAGTTCTAGAGGGTTCTGGTAGTGGTGGGTCCCCAGGTCTAGCTCTAGGGCATAGCTTTGCTCCTGGCCCTGAGAGGTCCAGTCTGTGATCAGAGCAGCAGGCACCAGGGCTACATTAACCACAGCTCTCCCAAGACTGCTGCTGGGGGTTGTAAGAGTTACATTAGGAGAGCATAAAGAGATTCCAGTCTACAGCCATACCACCCTGAACACACCTGATCTCGTCTAATTTCAGAAGCTAAGCAGGGTCGGGCCTGGTTAGTACTTGGATGGGAGACAGAAAGAGATTCCACCACAGCCATAAGCAGAAAGCTCTGGAGACTGAAGGAGAGGTGAGAAAGGAGGACCTCATTTAAAGCAAACAAAGAGAAAGTTGAAAAAGGGATTCACTAAATTCATTTCAGTAAGACAACAAACTGACTGTGGGCTGAGTATTCCTCATCTGCAAACCTAGACTCTCAAGTGCTGTGAAATCCACAGATGCCTTTTAGGTTTTGAGTTCAGGGAGTGAAGTCAATGCTAATTATAAGATTTTCCGTGAGTGAAGACTATGCTAATTATTTCACAGTCCAAAATCTTGGGGCAAGGAAATGCTTCCAGTCTTAAGCCAGGGATATGCATCCTGTCCTCACAAACAGCCATTCTAAATGGAGAGTGTCTATTTCTAGTATCCGGTCTGAGGTTATTCTAACAGTAGATGCAGCACTTTAAAGACCTATTCTACCAAGGGTCATGTGAAATTAGACGAGGGTTGTTTATTTGAGTTTAATAAAGATCATAGTCATGAAAGGAGTAAGCACAGTCTTTTATATACTCAAATCTATTCTATGCAAGGCATTGTGGGAACTGAGAAGAGAAGGCTCCCACCTTCGTGGAGTTTGAATGATGGCGGGGGGAACAGAGCATACGCAAATGAACAAACTGACACACAGTTAGTTAGGAAGAAATCTGAGATACACCATTTAAATGCAGAGTGGACCAGAGATTGTTATTTTAGTCAGAGACGTGGCAGGTGAACAGATCAAAATGACAGAGAGGAGTTAGTTCAATGATCATCAAGAACAGGCTCCTGGGAAAGAAAAGAAATTAAGAATCTTACTGAAAACAGGGCTTGATGAGTTCGGAGTCCATCCTGAAGACCAGTCTGTCTAAAGATTCAGGGAGAGAGGAAACAGCAAGAGGCCAACAGAGGCAGCTGTATGAAGAGTCTCACTTTTATGGTGGCATGACTGATGACCACCAAAGATGCTGAGCCCCTACGCGGTTTTGAGTCTCCTCAAAGGAATAGGGTAGCTCCCAGGTAAGCAGAAAAGGGACAATGGCAGATACAGGGCCCATTTGGCAGGGGTGGCAGCCAGCCATGCAGGCGATGAAGGGTGCTACTGGCAACAGCAGAGTTGGGCAGCCACGAGCTCCGTTTACTTGCTTACCTTTAAATTAACTGAAAAAGAAATCAGTTCAAAAAAGAAATCCCACAGGCTTGGGAGGAGGGGCACTGGAGAATGAGATGCTGCTTGGTGAGTATGGAGTGAAAGTTTGAGGTGATGAAACAATTTTGCAAACAGCTAGATCAGCAAGTTCACTGTAACTAGAGTCTCTGATTTGCATATGTAAAATGATTAAAACTGCAGAATTTATTTATGTCTGTGTCAATTATCACAACACACAAACTAACAAAACATGACCACAGGGCCAGGACAATGCAACCTTTAGAATAAATGAAAGCCGTACACCTTTCCAGACCCAGATTTAAGAATGCTCTCAAGGAAGGGCACCAAAAGTAGGGTGACAAACCCAGACCAATTAAACTGGAACAAAACTGGAAACTTTAATGCTTCAGATAACACCATCAAGAAAATTAGAAAAAACAAACAATGGAGAAAACACTTACACATTCTGTGTCTGATAAGAAGCTTGTGCCTAGGACATGGGAAGAACCCAGCAACATAAAACTTCTCAATATGAACATGGTAAAGGACCTGAATAGAGATACTTAGCAGAGAAGATACACAAATGACTAACAGGGATTCAGAGAAACTCAACATGATTGGGAATAAAGGAAACAATCTCAAAGTCACTTGAATCACTTCATATCCACTAGGAGGCTACAACAAAAATGAAAATCAAGAGTCAGAGAGCCAGAGAGCCGGGTGGTGGTGGCACACAACTTTAATCCCAGCATTTGTGAGGCAGAGGCAGGCTCTGCGAGTTTGAGGCCAGCCTGGGCTACAGAGTGAGTTCCAGGATAGCTAGGGCTGTTACACAGAGAAACCCTGTCTTGCAAAACAAAAAGAAAAAAAAGTCAATTAGAGTGTGGAGACCTGTAATGGTTCACACACAGCCAGAAGCTGAGTAAGCTGTGCAGACATTTTGGGAAACTATTGGCACTTCCTAAGAAAGATTGTGCACATTTATTACCTGACCCAGTAATTCCCAAGAAAAATGAAAATGCGAATGAAACACAAAAGCTTATACATGAATGTCCACAGCGGCATTATTCACAACTGCCCATGAAGCCTAAAACAATGAACTGCATTATTCCCTAGCCACAGTAGCCTATTCATAATGCAGATGTCCATCAACTTGTGAATGAACAAATAAATGTCCATCACTCAGTGAGTGGCGCATCAATACAACAGAGTATTATGAAGAAATAACAAGGAATGAAGTAGGGGTGCATGCCACAATATGGATGAACCTTGAAAAATGAAAGAAGTTAGGATCAAAAAGCCATATGCTGTATGCTTCTGTTTATATAAAATCCTGTTTATATAAAATGTCCAGAGTAGACAGATCTACACAGACACAGTACAAAACAGCAGTTGCCAGGAGTTGAAGGTTTGGGGGCTGAGTGACAGCTTTTGGGGTGATGAAACATTTGAAAATTAATGACTATGATGATGTGCTGGTTGGGTTGTGTAATGGAATTACGCCTTGAGATGGGTATAAATATAGAGATACAACTATATAACGATGAAGCCGCTACAAAAACTTGGTTCCTTAGTCACACCGGCCACATTTCAAATGCTCAGAAGCCATGTGTGGCTAGTGGCTACTGTCCTGGGCAGCAGATACATGCACCATCTCCCCACTCCTGAAGTCTAGCTAACAGTGCCAGACAGGCCACGTCAGAGGTGTGAGGAGTGACCGAAACTGGTAGATATTTTGGAGCAGGAGTGACGGCATTTGCTCATGATTAGGGCGTAGAGTAGGAGGGAGCTTGAGGGACTTCAGTCTGAGCGTGAGGTGAATGGATCAATGACTTTTGATGGAGACTAGCAGTCTGGTCTTTCCCATAGGAAGACTGGCTGGAGGTGGAGCACACGAGGACCTGCAGCAGTATTTTAGGTTCACTGTAGGAACGGTCAACAAGAAACATGACTGTGTACAAGAGAAGGAGTTAGGTAAATGAGGCGAGGAAAGGAATTAGCTTAGCAGGCACCTCCTGGTCATAAGAGTTAGGAGACCTTGGTACAACCTGGCTCTCTTACCCTAGTTCCACTGGTAGAGAGGGTTTTTTGTTTTTTATTTTTTAGATTTGAGGCTAACATGGGGGTTTCATATCAGGGACAGAGGTTAAAGAAGATGTGGTGGCAATGATGCTCTTAGCTGTTAAGTCAGCCTGTGCATTTAGCGGCAGAGATGTGAGCCTCAGCTGCTAGGTCCAGATGGAGTTCCCAGTCTGTCCATCCTGAGTATTTACAAGCACAGATGGTTTTAACTGAGATGAGCAGTGATCTGGAGCCTTGATGTTCCGTCTACACTAAGTCCTGGGGGGAACCTAGAAAAAACTCTGGCCAGGTGGGAGAGTTAGATGGAGAGGAAGACAAAGCCAAAAACCAAAGTCTGCAGTCATGGTCTCACGGCTTTTGTTGTTGTTTGTGAGTTGGGACAATCCCCAAATGCTGGTGTTACTGACATACACTACCACATCTGGCCTGACATTTTTTTTTGGTTTGTTTGTTTTATCTATGGTGCTGGTGACAGAACTCAGGGCCTTACACATATTAGACAAGTGCTCCCCACTGAGTTCTACACCCCCTACCCCAGTCATTGTTTGGTTTAGGTTTTGAGACAGGGTATAAGCTGTAGCCTCGCTGGCATCAAGCTTATAATACTTGCTTCAGA